GTAAATTTTCCCAATTCCGTAACCTCCACTCCCATGAAAAATGTTTGTGGTGCATCTGCTGGCACCTGTACAAAGTACAGTTGAGATGACTCATTTATGAGTTTTTAAGAAACCACGGTGACTAATGTAGACAGACATGATCGCCCAAAGGCCCCTGAAGCATGCACTGTGAGGAAGTGAAAAACGGGAATACAGAAGCCAGCTGGGTATCAAGGAGTGATATAATTGGAGCTCGGCTGCCAAGGTCACATTGGACTTGTTGCTAAAAAAGCAAGGATGTTATCTGTGATGGCATGAGCTCCAGAAACTGAGATGGGGGAGGGGCCAGGATATGAAACCCTCCTGGTTCCCAGCCAGGCAGGCACCATGGAAGCCCGAATGGTGCCAGCTGGAGCTTCTTATCCCCTGTATCTTCTGTACCTTGTATCATCTGTCCCTCTTCCATTTGCGTCTTCCGTTCATTCTCTCCTTCCTCATCTCCTGACAATGTAAAGCTGGTTCAGCATCGGAGGCTGGCACGTTGCGCTTCCCTTCATTTGTGCCAAGACCCCTGTTCATCTCCTGTGTGCTGTCGAAGATGCTCCACTCAGATACGTGCAGGCTCCGGCGCAGGAAGTCTCCCTGTCTGAGCACGCACGCCCCGGCTGCTTGGTTAGCAGGGGCCTTCGTTGAGCACTAATTGAGTGGAGGACTGAAATGCTAAAACCTCCTAACTGCCTTTACTGGTAGATTGAAAAACTTTGAGCCAAAATCATAAGGTGGGAATTTGGAGTAAAATAGAAGGGTGTCTTGAAGAGCAGTTGGGGTGCATTGCATCCTAGCCCAGCTCAGGGCTGGTTTCTCATCTTATTGTCTCTCTTGCCTTTATCGCAGAAGGGAAAACGTTTATTTTTTCCTTCATCTCACTCTGACACTTGCCCTGCTCAGCCTGCGGCTGTCTCCACACTGACCCTACGGGGAAGAGGTTGTCCTTGTAGGAGCTCTTTGCAGTGGAGGGTGTCACTGGTGCGGTTTTGCATGACTTGGCACTTTTGGGGAAGGTTCTTGCTACCCCAGCTCTGGCTGCCTCGGCAGTGCCCTCCCTTCCCGCGCTGGGGCCTAGCTCATCTCCCCTGTCCTTGGCTTTTTCTGTTGATCCCTCATGGCATTGCAGCCTCCTCCCCACCTCTGCCCTTCTTCCTTCGTCCCCTGCCACTTATTATACCGACTGTAGGCCCCTTAAGAATTCTCCGTTTTGTCCCCCTTTTCTGAAGATCAGCACATTCAGCATTACACAAACTTCTGTGTGATTTCACTTGACTTTTGAAGTCCCTAAAACCACGTTTTTATGTGAGTTGAGCCATCTCTAGGAGTTTCCGGGGATTCTC